ATTTTCTGACATCTTGTTTTCTGTAAAGATTTTATTGGTAGGTTTGCAAATGTGTATCAGACTGTGCAATCTCTCCATGAGTTGGTTTTGAAACCCAGTATGGGATTCTGAGATACATTACCAAGGATATTATTACAAGTTAAATCATTTGCTTCATTGAACACACACAACAATGCATATTTCCACCGAGATCAGTGACCTTTGATGTGTATCACCAGTGATCAGTCAAGTAGAAACAGTCAAAATATTTTATCAGATTTTCTCAATTTTTGCATGATATTTTCATACAGGACATCTGTTGTTCAAACTCAGGGAAGACTTTATACTGATGAATAAGGTGACCAAGTTTTATAAAGTTTGGAATAGAATTAGTAAAGTTATTATGCACACAATAACAATTATTAACGACGACGACGACAACGCCGGACAAAATTTTCCCCTTAATATACCTTTCCCTTCCATCTTTGATGGTACGGGCAAGGTAAAAATAATTGTACTTTAAGAAACAGACACAGATGTGGGGATAACGAGACAGAGAATCTATTGTAGAATTAAACATGATAATGCATTGATTCTTTCAATTTGTTATTCAGTGTTCAATTAGCTGCACTGCATTCTAAACAATTATATATAGGTATATCGTTTTGCTTTCCACACTGATTAACAGGTCATAAAAACAAGATGTGTTGCACAGTAACACTGAGGGCGCCAATCCATATGATCATCAGCATTTAAATATGCAGTACTGGTACTTCACTTTCAGTGGTGGAATAAATTGGCACACTTGTATCCAGCAAAAATACATTGTTCCTTTGAATTGCATCAAATCTGACAAATCATGAAATTAAATTGTTCAGAAAAAGTTGTTTATTACAGTACATTATTTCTATGACTGATGGGATCCATTTATTTCTCATGCAGGGGGGGGGGGGGCAATTTCCAACTGTTTTGAGGTGAATTACAGAGTAGTACCCCTACAAACTTAATGTCTGTATTAATTAGTATTAAATTGATAATGTACCTGTAGGTCCATATAATTACTTTCTGAAGATCAAATGTTTTTTTGAAACTAATTTGGATATTTTATTGTATACCGGGTACAACACCAAAAATCCAAATACCAGCTAAAATAAAAAAATTCACAGTATTTGTACTACCCCGTATTAGAAATGCATCCTGGTAGAAGTGCTCATAAATTAAAAGTTTATTGTATGCCCGGATCATTAAAATATGACTTGTTTTAACCATATAATCATCTGTCATTTATGCACGCGCTGCATTAGAAGCTTGCATACTTATGTAAATTACAGAGATTTTTTTATGGTCGAAATGAGTAATATTTTAATTATTCAGTATACAAAAATTGTGATTTGCAAGTAGAGATGAAAGTTCTTAGTACAGTTCTATCACTGCTTCGCATGGGCTGCCTCTAGTACGGTGAAATATCCATAATGTTTGTACATTTCTGACCACCATGTCGCTATTCCCTTGACCAGTCAATAGTGGAAAGTATAAAACATATACATCCATGCTTTAAGCCTTCTATTGAGGTCACTCATCTTGGGTTACTGGTTGACCGCTCAGGTCTGTGTTGTGATTTGATACCACGCTGGCACTGTTGCAAAAAATTTGCGACTTCAGGAGTTCTCATCAGGGCCTGGAAATAAATCAAATAATGATATAAGAGGCCAGCCATTTGAAATCTTTATGGGTGGCTGGAAGACCAGTGTGTGATCAGTGCAATTATTTGTTTGCAGTGTCTTATCTGTATGTTTTTCTTTTTTTAATGTGCCAACATTTTTCCTTGCATGCATTTTTTTTCTCTTGGTATCTTTTTTCCTCAGTAAATCTACAGCCAACTCCCATAAATTTAAAATTGTTAAAATTACATGTTTTCATTACAATGGTCGTACACATGACAATGACAGAACCACTTGGCCTTCTCCTGATATTTGTGGGGTATGGAAGTTATTTACGAGTAATGCGAGTAATGCAGTGTATCCTATTGCTATATTTTCAAGATCAAAGTAAGTTCCGGTAAACAATGTACTATATTTGCTCTACTAATATCAGAAGCACATGCACTTGTGTGAAAACAATATTAAAGAGCCAATTGTTGCCAAGACAACAATCTCCACAGATCTTAGAACATTCCAATACAAAATTCTAACAACTAATATAAAACTGTATAAATGGAAAATGATCAATTCCCCCTTCTCCCATTTTCTGTGTGAAAGAAGAAGAAACATTAGAACACCTATTTGTTAACTGTAATGTTGTAAAGAGTCTGTGGAGACAGTTGCAAAGTGATTGCACACTTATAGGCAATATTATTTGTAATGTCAAAAATATTATTACAAGTCTATGTGAACCTGAAAATATATTACTAAATCAGAAATAATGGAATAAAGAAAAACTGCCACTGAATTGCAGTGCTCCCTTACTTACTATTCAAAAATATGTATATACCTGCAGTGTTTAAAAGGTTCATCTAACAAGATATGCTTATAAAAACTAGGTCTGGGAAAATAGAAATATACAACTAGACAGAACAAGCTATGCATGGCATAGTGCCCGTTAGTTAATAAATCTAAGTTTTGTTTATACCGGATTCGGCCGATACCCCGCCCATCCTAAACCCCGCCCATCCTAAACCCCGCCCATGGGCGATGTTTCAAATAGTGGACGATGTTTTTGTCCACACATTGCCTGACTGAACCAACAAACATTTTTACAGACCCCAATTTTCCCGTCCAACATCTTGCATCGAGCGCGCTATTTCAAATATGACGATAAAATAATTCACTGTGAAGTCGAAACGCGTAAAAATCCAATAAATCCAATGCTGTATACGAATTGTTGTTGCATGAAAAATGGTATATGTTTGTATTTTATGCAAGTATTTATCACCAATTTCAAAAGTAAAAGTCGTAACTTTAGAAGGTACGAGTATTATGGCTCGTGAATACATTTCACTAACGTTTATTACACTCAAATAAAGTCTGCGCTTGAAATGAATGCTGTTTACGAAGTTTGAAATACACAAGCCTTCCTGATTCAGCCTCTTGGTTGATTTGACAACGGTAGGTATCGTTTATGTTTAATCTTTGTCTGTATCGCATTCCTGACAAAAAGTTCAAGATCGGTAAACAGGAAATTGGCGAACTAAAATGTCTCCTGCGTTTCACATGCGACATGATTATTAAAAAAACAGTTAAGCGGTTGTGTACGTTCTAGAAATCTAACCTTGCGCACATAATCTTGTATTTGACATGTTTGTTTTTTTTTGTCCAAAAAAGACGTTCCCTTTCAGTAAACTTTTCGGGTTCGTGGTATTTGTGAGAGTTGACAGGTTTTTTGAACAAATGATAGGTAACTATATTAATTTGGGTGAAGCTGAGTGGCCCGAATTTAAAAATCAGCGCATGAATTCTGGAGGTCATTGCCCAATGCCGCACGTAATTCAAACACATGGTTAGTAGAGATCAGTCGAAATGTACGTGCATAATGCGATCGAAGTGCGCTGCCCAGAGTTTATTATATTACATATTCACTTCATTTCGAATAAAATAATTGACCATTGAGAACATCGATGAATCACAAGACACCCGACTACTATGATTTAAATGCGCCCATGTTTATGTTTGCGTAATTATTACGAGTGCAACGCATTATAAAGTCAGTAATATAAATTACTTGAGTTTGCGTAATTATTATGAAAGCATTACAAAGTTGAAATATTCAGAGCCGGTACAATACTGTAAACAAATTTGCGTCATTAGAAAAGCAGCGCACCAAGTAAACGATGTTGATATATTCAAAGCCAGAGTTGCAGACAAGTTATGTGATTACAGTATCGTCGGATATAATAACAATTTTACTAGGCGGACGCGCGGAGCACGAAAGAAAAAGGTTGCTACGGTAACGCGCCAGTTCAGTGCGTGACTTGGTGTCAAACTTCGGTCAACCATGGAGGTAGAAAAAGACCTCCATGGGTCAACACACACTTGATGTCAGCAGTATCGCCGCGCAGCAACAGTTTGTAAAGAAGTACTTGAAGCTCAATTGCGCCCAAAATGATTTCGCTGATTACTCGGTTGTCGCAGCGTGTGTTGTGTCATGTCCATGATGCACCCCGTTTCGACTTTGGCTTGCTTTTCCTTCTTGTTCACGTAATGCGATCTCTCACCAATGTATTAAAACACTTTGAATTTATACTTTGCATGATTATATTTGGTCAACGCGAAACATTATTCTTTCTAAACATTTTCTGAGACCATTTTTATCAGTGCAGGGTTATTTTTCCGGACAAGATGGGCTTCGTAATATCTGCCATAACATCGCCCGGGCGATCTTTTGGTCCACATTTTTCTAAAAAAAAATTGAATCCTCCATAAGATCGCCCAGGGCGGGGTATCAGCCGAATCCAGTAGTAATATAGTATGAGTATTGAGAGGTATTTCTCTGAAACATCATTAATTAAAACAAAATGGCCACAGGTCGGGCATCGGGTCGTCAAACCAATACATCTGTATATTTATGACATGATGTATAATGAATATATAAAATTTGAACATCAAAGCATGTCAGAGATATGGCTCATTACGCATTCATCAAAACAAGATGGCCACCAGTGAGCCATTTTAAATCCAATCTGAAAACAAAATGATGTGCATCAGGGACTCATAGTGTATCATGTATGTACCAAGTTTGAAAGAAATCCATCTGTAAAGAGCCGAGAAATGCTTGATTTTGATGATTTTTCAGTACAAAAATGACTGCCATTTGGCCATCTTGAACCAGAACTGAGATTGCGAAACAAATTGATGTGCCTATGTATAAAATTATGTATGATGTATGTATAAAGTTTTAACGTAATTGGTCCAGGCATGTCTAAGATATAGGTCAGACGCACGTACACATGAACACACAGACTCATCCATTACGAGAAATGGTAACCGCTAGATAATTGGCTAGATGTTGGGCAGATGACAGGCAAATCTATAGTAAATGTCATTTTTTTGAGCATCGAATAAAACAAATACGCTAGTATGTTGCGTATGTTAATTTGGTGACTTACCAATTTCTTTTCATTCAACACTTGTTCCAGCATTGATATTCCCTGATATTTCATGAAATCTGAACTACTTCCACATCTACGTTTACAGTCATTTTCTGTTGGACTTCCACTGCTGGTACTCGCACTACCCTACAAGTTTAACACAATTTAACAATATTTATAATGTACATTGTTAATATTGAAGGTCATACTGCAAATAATTCACAAGTACCGTAATTCTAGAACTGTAAAGTAAATTCTTGAGAATGGATACAACAAATGAATGAATAGAAAACATTTTGCTGTAACTTATTAGTTATCTCACTTTATATTTTACTATTGTTAATACTTTAATTGTATTTTTATTAACTTTATTTTGAATGTAACCAAATTAGCAATGTCAATTCTCTGAATGGTTGCAATAAAGCATTCTTTATCAAGTACTCATCAAGGTTGTGATGTCACTCACACCAATCATCATTCAGGTATGAATAGAGATGTTGAGACTTGGAATGCTTTTTTATGTAGAATACAAACTTGTTGTTTACTTGCCAATTTTCAAAAACTATGAATAATTGAATGAATGAATGAATGAATGGGTGAATGGATGGATGGATAAATGAATGAATGAAAAATTCCCTGCTTCATCAGGGTTACTATGCCAACTCACTTCTCTGGCGGCAATGGCCTCAGCTTGCTGTTTCTCCTCCCCCTTCTTTCTTTTATAAGTCTCCTTGTAAGTCTTATTTCTGTGGTACGTACACATCCAAGGCGCTGTTTTCCCCATCTGAACTAGCTTAGGTCGACAGAACGTGGTCTCCTTGCAGCCGTCCACGGCACATTCCCTTGGTCTCCTCTTGGAGTTCGGCTTAATCCGTTGAGAACTACCTACATTTTGCGCCGTTGGAGGCGGCTCCACGCATGATTTGCTTAGGCCATGCTGTTGTGTGATGACATCTGAAAGACTACACAGTTCGGCGGAATCAATGTGTCGCGTTGTCTCGTTTGAAACACTTTGGTATGGTTCAAAAGATGTTACCATTTGCAAATGCTCCGTTCTTTGATTTGGGTTCATTTGTAAATATAGAACATTTCTCAGTCAGTCGATTTGTAGTTTGGGGTGTCCAACACCGTTGTTCATTTCCGTCAAATGAGGTCGTTGATCAGCTGTGTTGTTGTTGAGGCTAGTGAGCGTACTTAGCTGACCTGAAATAAATAGTTTCAAAACGATTTACTTCACAGGAAATACATTTCGCAAACATTGAGTAGATCTAACTATCCGAGTAATAAAATTACATATTTACACGCTTTCTCATCGAAAACAAGTTCTTGCCTGTTTGCACGAAAGGCCGAACGAATTATCTTTTAAAAAATCTTAGGTAGTCCTTTGTATAGGTCAAAGGTTAAATTATGTACTGTGCGCCACCATTGTGATTGTAAATGTATTGACATTTGTAGTTTGGGTCGTACTTTTTATGCAGTCGATACACACATGTGTATGTAACGTAGATGTTTTGCTTTAGTAATCATTCCATGAAAGTCCGGATATAAAAGAAACCAAGGCCAAACATTTTGAGATAATTATGTAAGTATTTCAGTTTCTGACGTTATGTTGTAGCCTGCAGGCAGCCAATGCATCTTGATGGCACTGCTCTGTCCTGATGTCTGTCACATTGTCATTTACTCATTACTGTCTGACAGTCTGGGGTCAGATAGCATTGTTATCTGAGTTCTCGAATAGCTTAGTTGCATCATCCTGGTTATTTTCAAATTTTTACATTTAGGTAGTAAAATCAGATGAGGGTCAAATGAGGAATATGCAGTGGTTTCTTTGTTTTACAGGGTCCATAGCGTTGGGAAAATCCTTTGAAAGTCTTTGGATTTTTTGAGGTCTGGAAAGTCTTTGAGTTGTCTTTAAATTACAGGAAAAATAAAACAATCTTTGAAAAGTCTTTAAATTTCTTCATAGTTATTAATTAATTTTAGAAAGGCCCGTTTTCTCCAGGGAACTACTATATCCTCAGAACTTTGATGAGCTTTGGTGGTGATGATGTTGAGTAAGGGTCAGAATGTCTTTGGGAAAAATACAAGAAAGTTTGGGAAAAGGTCTGGAAAAGTCTTGGAAATCATTTGGCTCTTGGTGCTATGGACCCTGTTTTAACATTACTTATCACTTGTTGTCATGATTGCAACTAGTGTCATAGGACATTTGCCATATTTTTGGTGTAAACAGTAAATTTAACTGAAAGCCACTTGTTTGATCAAATGGCAGCAAATTGCTGACGTCCAAAGAGCCTTTGATTCACAATCACAATTCCTTACTGGACTGTCTCTCATATAAATAGTCCTTGAATCTCCAACATTTGACAATGGTACAAAACCCAGAATGGACTTCCTGTTCAACATGTCTTTGCTTGAAGCAATGTTCACGTCATTGTATGTAAAAGACACACACAAATTCAACAACATTAACTTGAGTGTTTTAAAATTTTTTAAAATAAATGGAAATACCAGTTAGTTTACTCATGTTGATCGATGATTTGATAGCTGGCCAAGATAGCTTTTGAGATTTTCAATTTCTACTGCTACTGTGGAGGGTGACTGGTGACAGATAGTTGAGTTTTTGTGGCTCTCTTGACAAATGACTTTTAGCTTGCTAATGTGACATTATCTTGGCCGCTTTTTGTTCATAACACTGATGAGTAAATAAATGGGCCAGGACATAGTCAACATGGGACTTGAGAATCACAAGTCGGCCATGTGTTACATTGTAGAACAAGAAAACAAAAGACTGACAATCCACAAGAACGAAAAATAACTGGCAAGTACACTACACAACATAGTCAAATCAGTAAAAGAAATATGTATGAAACACATGGTATGCATGAAAATATAAAATAAATGTCAGTGAATACAATATACATGCTACAAAATAAATAATAATAATATTTCAGAGAATAATATTTTTATATTATAATTATTAAAACAAAAAGGAACTTTGAAATAACCTATAATTGTAAGTGTGATGGTCACAATGAGTCTAGTACCTGGATATATATTATCAACTTTTTTTTTTGCCTTTGTTCTGTATTTAGTAAGAATATGGATGCAACATGAACGATCAGAACTCTGGAATAATTTGTTTCAAAATATTCAACTGTGGGCTAAACAATCACCACTGTGATTAAAAAAACACATTAATTAACTCTCTTTATTGTGCATACAAACCTCAAAAACAATGTTTGGGTGAGTTTTGGACAGAATAATTCTAAGTACTATTCATTTGCGTTACTCCCATAGACATAAGTGTTGACATTATCAAACCTACATTAATTAGTCCCCGTTCGGACGGAGTCCAAAAACAGGGACTTATAATTCGGTCTCAGTCCGTGCATCTGTGTGTCCGCCGGAGTCATATCTCAGAATCCCTTGGATCGATTCAGTTCATTCTTTTCATGTGCCTAGTACTTTATGTGGGACATATGCACATGTAGTGGTTTAGCGATTCGATTCAAAATGGCCGACTGGCAGCCACCTTGTTTTTTGAAAATGTTGTATTTTGGACATGCTTTGTCAGTTTTCATTCAAACTTGGTACATAGATTAGACATGTTAGGATACATGTCCATGACGATTTATTTCACAATTGGATCAAAGATGGCCGACTGGCAGCCATCTTGTTTTTTGAAAATGTTGTATTTCGGACATGCTTTGTAAGTTTTCATTCAAATTTTGTACATAGATCATACATGTTAGGATACATGTCCCTGACCGTCCGCGAGTTCCTGAGTCTGTCCGTCCGTGTGTCCGTGCGTCAGTCTGTCCAGAGTCATATTTCAGAATCTTGTGGACCAATTCCGTTCATTCTTTGCATGTGTCTAGTACCTTATGTGGGACATATACACATGCAGTGGTTTAGCGATTCGATTCAAAATGGCCGACTGGCAGCCATCTTGTTTTTTTTTTGAAATGTTGTATTTTGGACATGCTTTGTCAGTTGTCATTCAAACTTGGTACATAGATTATACATGTTAGGATACATGTCCATGATGATTCATTTCGCAATTGGATCAAAGATGGTCAACTGGCAGGCATCTTGTTTTTTTTTTATGCGGTATCTTGGACATGCTCTGTCATTTTTCATTCAAATTTGGCACATACATGTACTTTATACATGTTAGGATGCATGTCCATGACAATTTGTTTCAAAATCTGGTCAAGGATGGCTGATTGACAGCCATCTGACTTGTTGGCCTTACTACTATATTTCCACAATTTATGTACTATTTTCATTCGTATTTGGCACATACATCATACATATCAGTGTGTTTCATAATCAGATCAAAGATGGCCGAATAACGGCTGTTTTTATTTTTGGTCATATTACTACTACACAGAACATATGTTTTGATGTAAATAAACAATCTGTTGTATACGCCACTTGGAACTCAAGTTTCAAGGACACTCTCGCGACAACTCCTCCACTTTAATATGACAAGCACAGAGAGAACTTTCAAAAATTTAACGGGGACTGTGTCATTTTCAATGACTTGTTTATCTAAGAATTTTAATGACCTGCAATTTAAGTGAATATTGTACCAGTCGGATGATTTTGTCTATAGTGGAGGTGATTGAGGTACACAGGAGCTACATTACAAGTATGTGTGAGTTACGTATCGACTTAAACTGAAACGTGTTCAGGCCAAAAATCATTATCAGTTTGACCATGATGATCAACCTATATATTATTTGAGATGAGATATCTTTCAAATACAATACACAATTTTGATAAGTACTGTTGATGCGTAGAAATGCAATGCTTTCTTATTTGATAACTGATATGAATACACTTGACATTATCACACTCATCACAAATATTCATCAGTCTTCTGGTGAACACAGTGAACCTTTTTTTTCAAAGTTAGAAACAAGAGCTTAGAATATATCTACCTGCCTTCTTCTGACATGTTATAAAATCTAGGTCTAGCCAAAGACTCTAGAGCAATACAGAGACAAACATCAAGGGAAATAAAATGATGTTCTAGGTTCTGTGGGCATCAAATGTCAAGGCAAAAATTTCTAAATATACTATTATAAACTGATGTGAATTATCGAAGGTCATCAATGCATTTAGGAACACATCTTTATGAATTTTGAGCCTTGATGTTCAGGGTAACATCACTCGGTGCATTTATGTAATACAATGTACTGCATAAACACCCAGATGCACAAAGAAAATGTCCTTACAAGTGTAAATTCAAAACAGTTTCCAAAACAAAATGTTTCAAATTCATTTGTATGATCCAGACTGAATAAGTGACATTGTAGAATTGCTTTTTAGAAGAGTTTCAAAACAGAGACTTGTGTTTTAGAACTCATTTCTCAGACATGTCTTTAACAAGTCGGTACAAACGCCAGACATTTGTTGGTTCAGCCTAATATAGACATGCGTGTATAAAAATAAATATTTCTATGATAATAACTTGTTATAAAACGTATTATACATTGTATATCTGCTTTTTTTTAAATATTTATTTTTAGAAAACAATTTTTAAATAATACTTTTTCTTCAATTATTGCAGAAAACATATGGCATTACTGGTACAGACTTTATTTGGTTATATTAATGATGGAGACTTATCAGCCGTTGCACATCTCCTGGAAAAACAGGCTTCGGTAGATGAACGAGACGAGGTATGGAGTAACTATAATGAGGGTTGAGTTTGTTTGTTTGTTTGTTTGTTTGTTTAGAATGAAAAGGCTCAAGTGAGACAAGGGCTACTTGTACCCTCACTCAGAAAAAAAATAATTGGCATATTATCAAGCAAAATAAACAATGATTCTACCTTTACATTGTAATTTGGATACCTTTACAGAAATGATGGTCTAGTTCTAATCAGTTTCTTTATTTCCATATTAATGACAATCATAGAGAACTATACAAATTACAGGGGGTACCAAAACTCAAGGGAAAATGTTTTTTTACAGGTCTTGATAACATTTTTAAAAGCAATCTCGAAGTGTCTATGTGATTTTTTTTTCTCTTCATCTAAACAAAGTTTGATTATTATATGAAAAAGCTAGACTGATCACCAGACATTAAGAATCATTTTATGGTAAAATGTATTTTCTCTGGTGTTTTCTCTGTTGCCTGTGCACAGAATGGCCAAACTGCTTTGCTGTTTGCTGCCGATAGAGGGCAGTCATCTATTGTTGATGAACTCCTTCGTAGAGGTGCAGAAGTGGATTCTCAGGATGAGGTAAGTGGAATTATTAAACCAAGAAATACATAAAAATATTTAAGTATAATAGTGTGATGTGTTGACTTAGGAACACACAAAATATCAAAAAAAACAAGAGAGCTTTCACGTTTATTCCGCCATTTTTAGTTACACCCACGACACTATTTTTTAAATATCAATACACTCATGTGATCAGGTGACATATAACACCATTACAAAAGTAGGTATTCTGACACATGCAATAAAGTAGTTCCAAAAACATTACGAATAGTATAAAATAACACTCGCTCACACTTGTTTTAAAAGAAAAAATATTTTTCAAGACCTAAAAATGCATTAAAAATTACTTGAGATTCTAAACATCTGAAAATTAATAATTTATTTTTTCTCCATTCGAACTTCAGCGATGAATCACACATAAACAACTATGCTGCCAGTAATCTTCCTACAAACAAACATGTTATTTTTTGACCCTGCAGTGTTGTTGTGCTACATGTACATGATTTCTTTTGTTTTTAAGTGGCAAAGACAATATTGCTGCTCTGAGGATTTCTGCTAACCAGTATGTGAATGTCTGTCAAAATTTGTTCAGTGTTCACTATCTACTACAATATTTATTACATCTCCCTAACCCTTCTCAGCTGTTTGCATCAGATTTTTAAATAATTCAGGAAAACCAAAACTACATATTAGTTTTTCACCATGTGTACCCAAACAAAATTTATGAAGAAACCTTTTTACCATAGAAACCAATGGTAAAAGCCTCAAATATCCATTTTCATGAGCATATTTTGTGCGAAAATTGTTTTTCTGGATATTGGAGCAGTAGCATAAAATAAAACCATATGTTGAAAGACAAGGTAATCTGGCGATACATTTTAATGGTAGCCAATTAGCTTAACTAAAAGGCACACATACATGAATATTTAATAACAGCTTTGAATAAAGCTATTCTTTTACTTTTTAATTCAACCAATGGGTCAACCAGTCATGGATAGAATTAATTCCCAAATACATATATAAAAGCACCCTCCTATAATAAGAAATTTTTGTAGAGCTAGCTGAATATAGAATGAATACTTAGTATTACAGTATATATTTACATCAGCAGTTTAAACCAATTCTAAAAATACATACGTTTAATATACTTTTTATTGATTTCTTGTTGATTCTCCAACTACTTGCAGGATCAGTGGACAGCTTTATTATGTGCATCAAGACAAGGTTATGATCAGATCGTTAAAAAACTACTAGACGCTGGTGCTGATATTGAACATCAAGATATGGTATGTTTCCTTGTATATTTTTATAAAAAAAACTAGAATACTGGACACATTGTATTTGCAATTACATGCGATCTCTGCGATAATCAAGAAGCAGTTGCAAAAATCACAAGAACTTTTTCAGATTTTCAAATCAAAAAACTTTGAGGACATTAGTGTGTTTTGCTATTTTATTTGCAAGGCCTCATTTCAAATGCGTTTGTTTACAGGGTGAATGGACTGCCTTGATGTGGGCATGTTATAAAGGTCGTACAGCAACAGTCAAGCTGTTGCTAGAAAAGGATGCAAATCCGAATATCCAGGTTCAGGTATATTACTTCTTCTAAGCTCTTACAGTTGCTTACCCTTCATTGATTATGTTCTTATCATGAATTAATTTTTCAGTGCGTTTGAATTTCAATATTTTCTCAGATAAATGTTCACTGAATTAAATCTATGTAAAATTGCGATAGAAGTCATTGTTTTGTTGATAAATCAGTGAATTTAAAACCTAGTGAATACACTCAAAAAATCAGGACAGTTAAATTAGATACAAGTAAAAATTAATGATTTTACAGTATAAAACATCCAGCAACAATCACTTTCATTCACTCTACCACTCCTGAAGATCACAACATCCAGCAACAGTCACTTTCATTCACTCTGCCACTCCAGCAACAGTCACTTTCATTCACTCTGCCTCTTCTGAAGATCACACCAAAAACATATTGTCTTGAATTCTGAATTTAGTCATCCTACTATATATGTGAATGGTTTGATCCATATTGGTCAGACACTGCTTCCTAATATTTTCACAATAATATTTCCTGTTATTTTGTAGCATGGTGTCATGCCTATCATATGGGCTGCAGGGCGTGGTCATTGGGAGATCGTAGAATTGTTGTTGGAGTATGGTGCCAAGGTAGATTCTACTGACAGGGTGAGATATACATGTGCTTTGTTCACCTACCACTGAAAACAATTCAAAAGTTTTGCGTCAGCATTTAAAATTTTAAATTATGGTACTGAGAACGAAATCTCATTAATGACATTCTCCAGCCATTGATTTGTGACTTTTAATCCAGCTATGAGTTTAGGACCACAATTCTAAGGTTAGTGTCTGAACATTTGTAATATACATATTTCCATGCAGTTGTTTAAATTACAATATTTTATGTCCTTATTACAGCATGGCACTACATCTTTAGTATGGGCTGCCAGGAAAGGTCATTTACGATGCGTACAAATCCTATTAGATGCCAATGCTAATGTAGATGTAACTGGGATGGTAAGTACCCGGTAGTATGGTTTTTAGATCACAGTGCCTACAAAGGGTCTGTGAGTAGACTTATATTTTGCATGTAATTTAAGTTAAAATATGCAAGCATATGAACAGATATTGTTTGTTTAGAATATATGTGAAGGATGTGATTGACATTGATTTATTCATTGATTTTAGTCAGTTAGTGTAAACTTTCAATAAATACAAGAAACCAGGTTACTAATTCTGTTATGCTAGTTTACAAAAAATTGTCAGTAGTTAGTATATTCTCCGGGCGAATATCTATGCATTTTCATTGCCTGGCATCCATCTGGGTTGAAACAAAAGCCGAAAACTCTCAGAAAACTGTACTTTGGGATAGTTGTTGCGACTCTCCTGAACAGTGTAACAAGATTACCCCTACATGTGCATATAAACTGGTAATATATATAAATTTTGTTGATCAGGATTACTTCATAGTTGATGTGGTGCTGTTTCTTTAACTTTAGCTGTTTTCGTCGGTTCTTTGTCTGGCATTCCACAGGAGAGTCGCACAGAGCCCATAGAAATACATTGATTTCTGTCTTGGCATCATAGAACATTTTGTGATGTAGCTCTGTTCTGGAGAATACTTACTATTTACCTACCAGTACTCACATATGTTGTGATGTTGTTATTTTCATAGAGATCATGGACCCCACTGATTGCAGCCACTAAAGGCGGTCACTTCAATTGTGTGCAGGAAATAATCTCCAAATCACCTAATTGTAATGCCCTGGATGTGGTAAAGTTTATTTTCATCTACTTTCAACATATCTTGTATTGTCATTATTAAAGTTTATTAGGACAAAGAAATATGTTTCAGGTCAATACACTTTTTCTTTTGCAGTGCTCTCTAGTGATGAAGCATTTCTGTGAAGTAAATTAAAAACATCAGTAATCAATGCCAATAAAAAATAGTTTTGAGATATTTACTACCATATTTGCTCTTAGAAGCGCATTTACAATAGAAACGTGCATACAAAATTTATTGAATGCTTGATCATTAAAATATGACTTATTTTACCCATAGACACAACTTTTATTTATTTAACTGCATCTTTTTATTAGTCCTCGTTCGGACACAGTCCGTAAATGGGGACTTATGTTTTGACCTCCAAGCGTCCATGCGTGCCTGTATCTTAGAAATGCCTGGACCAATCACAATCAATCTTCACACATACATCATACATGATATTATACATATGCACGTCAATTTGTTTCACAATCCGATTCAAGATGGCCGAATAGCGGCCATTTTTGTGCTAAAAATCATCAAAATCAAACATTTTTCGGCTGTTTACAGATGGATTTTGTTCAAAATTGATATATACGTTAGACATTATAGGACCTTGATGCACATCATTTTGTTTTTCAGATAAGATTAAAAATGGCCAACTGGCGGCCATTTTGTTTTAATGAATGTGGTTCTAGTGCCATATCTCTGACTTGCTTTGACTGATTATGTTCAAATTTTAAATATTCATTATAGATCATATCATAGATATACAGATATATTGGTTTGACGATCCTATTAAAAATGGCCGAATGGTGGCCATTTTTGTGCTAAAAAATCATCAAAATCAAGCATTTCTCGGCTGCTTACAGATGGATTTTATTCAAACTTGGTATATACATTAG